GGGGGGTAATATCCATGATGAAAGAGTTATTGATCAGCTGCCTCCTGCATGCCTCCCCCTCTGGGGATTGATTGAGCCTGCAACCTGGGCATGTGCCCTGACCAGGAATCATAGGTCGATGCTCAACCGCTGAGCCATGCCAGCCGGTCTTATCCTTATTTCATTTTTGTTGGATTTAACGGCTGTTCATTTTATCACTAGTATTGGCACTTTTCTTTTTTACTGAGTACATTAATAAAGGCAGTATATTAAAATATACCAAAGTTGTCTCTTTATCAGCCACAATTCCAATATTCAGGTTCCTTGAAGAGAGCGATCATATTTTAAATCAGTGAACTCCCGCCCGGCCGGGCGTGGCTCAGTGGTTAAGCATCGACCTAGGATCCAGGCGATCGGGGTTCGATTCCCTGTCAGGGCACATGCCCGGTTTGCCGGCTGCGGCCGATCAATGACTCTCTCATCATTGATGTTTCTATCTCTCTCTCTCCCTCTCCTCTCCTCTCTCTGAAATCAATAAAGATATATTAAAAAAAAAAAATCAGTGAACTCCTAACTGTAAGAGTTCATCTCACAAAAATGTTGATTTTGGTAATGGCTGAAAGAGGATGAGAGACATGGGGTGAGATGGGAATGTAGCTATTTGTTCTTCATTTGAGGTCTTTCCTCTGGAAGAGAAAGAATTTTGGCAGTTAGAGCTTTTTCACTAATTGTGCATGGTGCTTCCTGAGCGGAAATGGGGCAGTCTGGAGTCCAGCATCTGAGGACACACCAGGTGGAAGAGTGTAAGTCTTGAGAACAACAGGCCTTCTTGGGCAGTGCTTGGCATGTGGTAGTCATTTGTTAAATGCTGAGTGTGATGAATTCTTTACCCAGAGGATAGTATAATATGGAACCTGGCTGCAAAGTCTTAGCTTGACTCCTGTGTTCCTTTTAGTCACCTGCTAGATACAGAGCTCAACTGTGCTTTCCCTTTTTTGCATTGTTGTTTTTTGGGGGGTTTCCCCCCATACAATCAGTTTGAAAAGACAAGTCCTACCCTCTCACTTTCTCTGCACATCTTTTCCCTGAGAAAATAATCTGAAGGGTGGACCTCAATTGAGTATTTATCAAATGCTGCATTGTATAAAGGTGTACAGTTGTGCAGACTGCAGAAAACAGCCTTTGACTATGAAGAGTTTACTATGGCTACCTAAACTTTTTTTAACCTACCAATCACTAACATTTTTATTCTTTAGAATAGTTTGTGAAAGTGGCAAAACCTAGTTTTGAGAGAAGTCTGAATAATCTTATTTTGTCTTTTTTCAACTGTAGGAAAAACAAAATATTTAAGTTTGGGTAGCGTCAGTCCTTTTTACTTTATATTTCCATGTGCCAATTTTTTAATAAAGAAAAATGTTCTTTTAAATGCCTTTTAAAATTTGTATAGTATTGGGAAGGAACGACTTACTTTGTTCCCTTGAACAAAAAAATATTGGCAACAAAAAATGCCACTTAATCTCCATTGTAGAATTAGATTATTTGTGTAACATTTAATAGTATACCGACATTTATGCATGTTTTATTTCTCCTGCTGTTTTCAAAGTTGGAGTGCTTAATACAGTTGGTGAGAGCTGGTGCTACACTTGATGTCTCCACTACTCGTTATGCACAGACCCCAGCCCACATTGCTGCTTTCGGGGGACATCCTCAGTGCCTCATCTGGTTGATTCAAGCAGGAGCCAGCATTAACAAACCGGTAAGGGAGTGCCAATGATTGACTTGGTTTGTTTTCTTTTTCCAGTTATAATTACATGATGTTGAGTTTTAAATTGAGGCCTTAATTAGAGTTTGATATTTTTACCTGTGGGCTAATTAGAATTTATGTTTATTGAGCTACTTGTGGATAATAGGCCTTTCATATAGCAATACTTTCTGTTTTATAGAGTACTCTCACCTGTTACATGACTTACTGTTGATCCGCAGTGACCCATAGTGATTTGCCCAAGGTTACAGCTGTGACTGAAGGAGTCTGGACTTAAGCCCAGCTTTCCTGGCTCTCCTGCTCACAGCTGCCTTAGCCTCATTTCCACTGATAACTGTGAAAACATATCCATGCTAGCAAAAAAATGGCTGTTAATTCATCTCTGCGGTTAAGTTAGCCTTAGCAGAATAACCAATATGAGTTAATGTTGCTTTAGATACAAGTTGGGGATGATGTTGATGGAGATAAGGAGTCATTAGGAAGTGACTCCTGAACACCAAATGCAAGGATTTTGTATGTAAGCTTACAAACATGAACATGAGAGTGCCAGTGTTTAATGGTGTGTTTTCAGTATTCTTTTTGCATGAGTGAGGGGGAAAAACACCCATAAGAAGAGTGCTTAGCTTATTGGGAACTCGCTTGAACCAGGCGTTTGGTTGTAGAATACTCCATGGTAGTCTGACAGGAGCGTCCCCAGTCTTAGCACCCTGCCCCAGGATGGATTTGTCGAAGGGACTTGTGCCACAGGCTTTGCAGCTATTCTGTATGTCTTCCTGGTTTTTTCCCCCTTTATCCTATTTTTATATTCTTTTCCTACTAATAATCATCAAGGGCCTACTGTGTGCAAAGGAACTTTCATTTCGTCTTTTCTGCTTTTTCTTTTCCTAAGTTCATCCCTTAATGATAACCAGATATAAAGTAGTTGTGAGCTCCTCTCCTAAAGATAACACAGCTACCCGACCTACAAAACAAGTAATTGAGGAGGTGTTTTAGCAGTGATTTAACACAAGGATCAATGGGAAAGGGGAGCAAGGAATAAAAGGGTAATTTTTTCTCTGCACTAGACTTTTAGTAGAGAGGACGGTAAAATCCTTTACCTGTTTCTGTTACTCAACTGGAACTCAGGAAGTGGCACAATTTTTAGGCTTACTGTGCTACCTACCCCTTTCTCTTCCTTCCATCTCTGCACATGGATGCCTTTATACAGACCTCTGTGCCACTTTGTTACTTTTTTTTGTTTTTTAAGAATTTTTTAAAATATGTTTTTATTGATTTTAGAGAGGGGAAGGGAGAAAAACATCAATATCGATTGGCTGCCTGCTGCACTGCATGCGCACACACACACACACACACACACACAGACACACACCCTTTTGCTGAAACCTGGGCAAATGCCTCGACTGGAATCAAACCAGCAACCTCCTGGTGCATGTGTCAACACTGAACCACACTGGCAGGGCGACTCTGTTACTTTTATCCACCTATTCGGGCGTTATAAGTTGGCAACTGTACACCATTGCTATGGGCATTGCTTGTCTCTCCACTTGTTTCATTCCTGATCCTGCTTTCTCTTCTCCTCTCTCTTTCTCCCAGTAGAAGGGGCACTGGGGCTTGATTCCACCCTCTACTTCCTCATCTCTCTTGCCTAGGGCAAGTCATTTACTTTGTGGCTCAACCTTCTTGTCAATAAAATATGGACAATCCATGAATGGCAGTAATTAATGTTTAATATTAATATGGAATTTAAGTACAGAATATTCTGCATGTTAATTTTCATTAAATTGTTATGTCGCATCTAATTTACAGCTAAAGAAATTGTCTAACGCTGCTTTTCAAACCTTTTTAAAATAAACTTCCTGCCTGGCCGGGCGTGGCTCAGCGATTGAGCGTTGACCTAGGATCCAGGCGATCAGGGTTCGATTCCTGGTCAGGGCACATGCCCCGGTTGCGGGCTCGATCAATGACTCTCTCATCATTGATGTTTCTATCTCTCTCTCCCTCTCCTTTCCTCTTTCTGAAATCAATAAAGATATATTTAAAATAAAGTTCCTTTTCCTATAACTCTTTTAGCAGCTCAGTATTTGTCATGGGTAAAAGTTGATGCCCCTCACCCCCTCCTCTGAGCTGCTCTAGATAGTATTGTGTGGAAATAACTCCTGAACTTTACTCCCAGGGCTAGAGTCTCTAGATCCCACTCTCTCCTTCAGCCCTCCCTGTGTTTTCATTGTTCATGTGGCTCAATATCTCCAAGTCCTCTCATGCACGTGGGTGTCACTTGGATTTCTTAAGCATCCTGGCATTGCTCCTGAAAGGATCTCAATTGGCTGTGGTCTCCTGCTGAGCTTTGGTCTGAATCTCAGATGTCATCTTGATCTGTTAGGTAACAGTGGGACTGCTATGATAGGCACCTAGTGACCCTTGAGGTCCCAGTAGCCCTTTTGCTGGCTCCTCCAACACACTGTTGACTCACCTTGAGGTAGATAGTTTTTCTCATTTTCCAGATAAACTATTATAAAGTGAGATCCAGGTTTTCTTAGGCTTTTATTTGTTTGTGTGTGTGTAACTTTTTTGAACCTAGCATAGTATTAATAACATTTTGTTAGTTTTAACTCATCTTCTGGTTTTGATCTTTTGACATGTTAATGACTAACCATTTTCTCAAGTTTAGTAGGTAATAACTCAGCCATCTTTAAGGTCAGCATACGGGGTTTCTGAAACTTAGATGTACTGTCTGGCGGCTTAGTGTTCTAAGTTTACATAAAGGAAGTGAAGTTAGTTTTCAAGTGATTTATTTTGTAAGTCTAGAGCAGCGATTTTCAACCATTTTCATCTCACAGCACACATAAACTAATTGGTAAATTCTGCGGCACACCAGAAATTTTTTTTTGCCAATCTAACCAGATGGCTGTTTTCATTTTTTTACTTGACAATCTACGGGAAAAGAGGCTAGCCCCTCTGACTTGTCAGGTATTGCATATTTTAAAAATTCTTGTGGCACATAGGTTAAAAATCACTGGTCTATCATAACTACCCATGGTTGTCATTTTTTGTGTTTGCAAGTCATCTCTTTAATACCCCTTCTAGAATTTTGCTGGCATTTGCTTATATAATTTCTTGTAACTAGATTAGAAATAAGATTTTTCTTTATTAAAATTCAAGGTAACTTGTTTGTCTACAGATTTCTGGTAACCTCTCCCACTTTCCTTTATTACTCAGAGTTTGCTAACAATACTTTCAGAATCAGACTACAAACTATTTGGTATTTTTGAAATGTGACTGATCTGAAATGTAACCTTAAAATGGCTCTTTACTCTTACTCTCTTGGCTGCAGTTTTCTTTAAATAGTGTTTATTCTGCCCTTCCCACTTTAATGATGTTCTCCTTGTATAACACAGAACAGGGGCAGGGTAGTTTTGCTTTTTCTCTGTATTCTGTTACTGTCCCATCCCACCATTTTCTGAAAATAGTAGTGAAAACCCTTACTTCTCCTTCTTCTTCTAAAGGTAGCTTTAAAAAAAAAACACTTTATTTTTCTTGAGAGTTTTTGTTGTTTTGCTTTGTTGTTTGTTTGTTTGCAAAACCTTATCTAAATCTGAGTTCTACTTTTCCTGGCAATACTTGTCTGTAATTTTTATTTGTCCTTATGTACCCCCACCCACTTTGGGGGAGGATAGGGATATGTTTTTGTTCTTCAAAAATCTGAGTTCAGTCAATAGTTACTTTTATAACCACATGGTTTTCTGTGTTTCTTCAAAAACGGGATTATTCTGTTTAGTACTTTATGGCATTTTTGAGCATATTTTAAAATAAATGTGCACACTTTTTCCTCCACTAAACTATCAGGTCTTTTATATTATATTTTTCTGTAAAATAACGTACCACTCTTTTTTTTAATTTTAGCCCCCACCTCAGTTTTTCCCCCTGTGAATTAATATGCGTTGGTGAGGAGCTCAAATATTGACCGAATTTATGAATGAACTGTTTTTTAAGTACTGTACCAGATACTATGCACAGTGGCCCACTCCTGGTTTATATCTTTATCCCTTGATTATGTGGTACGGTTTTTCTGCCAAGTTCAGCTTCCAGTGACATTGAAGTGTTATTGATTCAGGAACTGTTGTTCCTTAGCCACTTGGAATTTCCCAGGCAAAAAGTCCTCAATCAGTTTTTCTAGCAGAAATAACTTCTCTTGATTGCTGTATCTTTCTTTACCTCATTTATGTGAGAGCCTGTAAATGAAGTTGTGCTTCAGATTTTTCCATTCATGCACTGTAAACTAATTCATCTTTTTGAGGGGTGACTACATTAGTGTTCAGAGTTGTTTCCCAGAGTCTCCTCACTTCCTCTGCCTCTTCCAGCATTGTATTCTGCAGCATAAATCTGATTCGAATGCAGCCTTTCTAAAAGTCCTTGAACAGAGTTGCCCATCACAGACAGTCTGAGTTATATGCGAACTGTCTGTGTTTGACCCTCGTGTTCTCCCTTCCCATCATTTCTTGACCCTTTAACTTCAACCATGTTCTCTAAAGTGTAGTCCTAATTCAAGTTCAAGATTAAAAAAATCCAAGGGAGGAACTGGTGATGTCTTGAATCTAGCTAGTGTTGTGGTTAGTATTGATAAAGTAGACCAGACATTAGATATTGGTGCTATTTCTTGGCCTTGATAACTTTTTTGTGACTTGTCAGAAGATAATTATTTCGGATTTTATTTGCAACATATTTGTGCTGAGATCCAGCATGAAATGATTTCTAAACCATCATCTCGAGTGTACATGTTATCATACATGCTATCATTGCTGTAGAGTCCCCACAGATTTTTTTGTTCTTGATCAAAGCATTCCCTTTCCGTGGGCTGCTTTTATTTTCTCCTCACGTCTACATTTCTTTGTGTTGTGCTTCAAATTTGGCTTACCATATTGTTTTATTTCAAAGATGAATGAGGTGGTGCTTGGTGCAGGGGAGCACATCTGCAGCTCACCCAGGCCCCCTGCTCCCTGGGAGATGTGGGTGAGCTGCTGTGGCCCCAGGCACTTGGTCTATGTTAATTATTTTTAAATGTGGAAATCTTGTTAGATCTGAATATTTGTGTGTGTTGCTTTTTGTGTTTTCAGGACTGTGAGGGCGAGACTCCCATTCACAAGGCGGCTCGCTCTGGGAGCCTAGACTGCATCAGTGCCCTGGTGGCTAACGGGGCTCACATCGAGTAAGTGTCTTTGTTTATTCTTCCCAACCAAGATGTAGTCAAGGGTGTTGTGTTTAGAAACAGAGTTTAGAGCAAGCAAACGTCCTGAACTTTGCTTTTAATGTTAGTAATATAATTTTGCTTTTTAGATCAGTTGGTGTTGGTGAGCAAAATTGTATGGGTTAAATTGACCAACAGAAGGAGCCTTAGTTTCCACAGTACTATCAGAATCCTTGCCATGAGAGAGAACATATTAAGATGGAAAGAACAGTTAACTGATTAAATTTGGAACCTAGCATCATGGACTTTGCCACTCAGTTGTATCACTGTGGGCAAGTCTTCAAACTTTTCTTAGCCAAGCTGTAATTTTGAAACAAAGGCCTTGGATTGGACTTGAATATTTTCAGGCCTCTTGGCTCAAAAAAATCTTGCAGACAATTCCCTTTTCTAAATTTTTATTTCCTCATCTTAGATGTGAGAACATTGTTTTAAAGCCTATTATAACTTTTGATGATTTATAACTCCTTGTAAAATGTAACTACTTACGTTAAAGACTTCAAACTCTCTCTGAGCTTTTGATATGATGGCATTATTTTAGAATATCCTTGTTTTAGCCCAGTTTACATCAACTAGCTTATTTATAGTTTGGTAAAACAATATTAATATTTGAGTGTATTAATTTTTAAATGTTATTTTGTATGCAAATCATTAGCTAGTCATGGCATACATTTATTTTAGGTAGTAAATTCATTTGTATTTACTTTCTCTTAAAGATTTATATTATAAAAATTTTTCTTCTGCAGTTCACAGCATTAACAAAATGGATGCGGTTTTCACCCTTAAATGTTGAGTGTAAGCTATAGAGCTGTAATAACCAAAATAACTATGATATATCAGCCTTTTTGTTTTACTTTTAGTTTCTTGACTATTTCATAAAAATTAATTATAAGCCACTTGATTCTAATTGGAAATGTGAAATTTTAGACTTTGGGAGAAGTAAAACCCACAAAACTAACTTAGTTTAACCCTTTGGTTTCCACTTCATTGTTTGACTCTGTATCATAATAAATATTGAAAATGTACCCTGGAGAGCAAAACCGTATAGGTTAATGCAAGACCTGTGTAATACCAGGGGCTGTCATTAGGCTCTTAGTATCTTAGCTTCTGGTTCATTAAGTATTATTGTTAAGAATAGTCATTAGTTTGGGCTTGGATCATTTACTTATGTAGTGATTTATTTTTGTAAATATGACTTGTATTAACTGTTACATTGCAGGGAACCTTGTGATTTCATATGTAGTTATGACTTCAGGTAATGTAAAAACAATTAAATACATATTATACAATGTTAAAACATTGAGAATTCTCAATGGATTGCTTTAAAGCAAAGATATATATGCAGTTTTCTTAGTTGTATTTAGATTAAAAACTCATCTTTAGTAACAGAAACTTTGCTTATAAAATACAGAGTCATATAAAATAATTGATTAAATTGCTTGTCATTTATTGAAATAATTAGAAGTTGATCTTTTTAATGACTTATTTTTCTAAACAATTTTCTTAATTGGTCCTGAACATTTTATTACTAAAATGTTAGTTTTATTCATTTTAATGACTAGCTTAATCCTTTAAGCCAATAAATATCTATTGCTATGTCCTTTTAATAGGTGTCTTTTAAAAATGAGATCATTTTATTTACAATTCTGTCCTTGGTTACAGGACCCTCGAGTATCTCTTTTCCACCAAGTGTGACTGAGCATGGCCTCAAGTGCCAGTCTGTTTTTTCTTCTCAGTATAAGAGCCACTCCCTCGAGACCCTGCATTATGGTGATTTCCCTTGACTGAACTTTCAGATATTTTTTAGAAGAAATATTTAGCCTGAGCCACCTAGCCAAAAGCAATTCTTAAAATTATAAGTCTTTGGCCTGGAGATGGAGCGCAAGTAATCATTATTTATTGCAATTATATGTGGGGTTATTTAGTTTTAACACCTAGATAAAATGTCAGTTTTACTAGTAAGCTAAATTGTAAATTGCTTTTTGATATTTTTTTCTGCACATTTTTATAGTTTTAACAGTTTTAGTCTACCAACAGGTAATAGTTTGATTCCCCCAAATTATGATACTTAGATCTATTTTACTTGTTTCCTATAATACTGTTCATATGGTAAAGTGTAGTCCTAGCAAATAAAATGCCTTTTTCTATTTTAAGATCAAGGGATACATAATTAATTTACTTAAAGTTACTTTTCTTTTTTCAGCTCAGAACAGGCCAGATTATTACATTCCATAATACTTAGGAGATAATATAAATTTTTCCTTTTCCCATGAATAGATTAAAATTGTCTCATATCAGTATTTTATCACACTTGGTGGGATTTAATAATTTTGTTATTAATTTCTGCTTTGCTTTTTATATATCAGCTGCATAAAGTGGCCAAAGTCTTAAGTTGCTGCTTATTGGTCATTGGGTAGATAGTGGTTAGGGCAGCTGTACCACACATCTGTAGCTAGAATGGTTTGTTATGTAACTTAACTTGTCAATGTAGGCTGCATCTGTAAGATAACGCATGTGAACTGCTGTGCATCGTATTACATTTTCTAGCACCACACGTGAGTATATTGATGGAGTTTCTTTTTCTTCTCTTATTTTACATCTTGAGTTTTGGTGCCAAGTTTTCTTTTTCATGTGAGGTTTTGTTTCTACTTGTTATATATGATGGTCATTATTATTTGTCATTGTTTAGACCTAAAAATAAAAATACACAATATTAAACATTAGTTCTATGACCAGACTAAGTGTGTACTTTAAATGATCTACACTTGTACAGATGCTTCTCATTCTCATTTTTTCTCAAGTATGACAAGTATGGAGTTTTCATTAAGTTGGTAGTCAGCCTTAATTTTGCTTGTATGGCAGTTCAGTTTTTCAGTGCAGCAAATAGTTGAATGCTGCCTGATCCATATTTAGGATTTTTTGAGTGGAACAAGGGCCTACACTTGGCATGGAAAAGTTATTGCCTCATTTTTCTTTTGTGATCAAATTAGTAACAATATAAGATTTTCTTAATGTGATTTCAGAAAGAGATGCTTGAAAACTTAATATCTGCTGATAATTAAGACCTTTTTACTAACAATTTAAAGTGCAGGTTTTGAGCCTTGTATTATCTTTTAGTATTTTTGCACCTATTAATTTTGGTTACTTTATATTTTCTTGAGAGATTGAAGTGGAGAATGTTTCCATATCAACCAGATATTAAAGTAGCTTTTCTTATGCCTTGGAGTAAAAAGAAGGGGGTGTGGGTTTAGCAGGATTTAGAGTAAAACCAGAATTACTTGCATTTCAGGCAAATTTGCTAGTCCATTTTAATACTACATTATACAGGTGCCAGTGTTTAGGTTATGACAAAGTCTCACAGCTTTTTGTAAGAGAGCATTTCTGTAGAAGCCATTGATTCTGTCATAACCAGATCTTCAAATGGGCTATGTATATTTTAACATAATTATTTTGATCCCAAGAAGAACTTAACTGTAATTATCAGATAACTGAAGAAGCTTCTATAGCCTTAAATAAACAAGTTTTCAGTGACTCACTCTAAAAAATCTTTCTTGCCTAATTTAGAAAACAGGCACAGTTCGCTATAATAACAAAAATGATTGTAATAGACTTCAGTGTTGCCAAAAAAAGTATGTTGCTGAACTTTTAGGAATTTTTCATTGAAATGCAGTTGGTTTAGTTTGGTTCATAGTTGGTGGCCATATTTTTATGACTCACATTTATTTATCCATAGAACCCTCTGGAAGCAAAATTTTTATTAGGGCAAATCATGTGATGAATGCAAGAAATTTGTTCGCAACTTTTACCCTTGGCAAAATAATCCAGGCTTACTTTATTAGCCATTCATTCATGTTTGAAATTTGTGGGGTTTTTTTTTTTTTTTGTACTTTTGGTGGTTTCTTTTGTTCATTTATTCTTCAGAATAATCCAACTATGAAATATATTAGAATTATAACTCTAATTAGTAGTTTCTGATTTTGGATCCTCTGCATTCCAGTCATTCTACCTAGTGGTGCATCCCTTACCTATTTGTCGCTGTGGCAAACTTGTCTGATCTTACTATTTCCTAGGTCTTTTTTTCTTTTATTAAAGTGTTTCGAGCAAGGTGGAGGAATGAACTTGCTGAGATAGCTATTAAAATTGTGCCTGCTGGGCAGGAGCAGTTGGTGGGCTGACAATATTGTAGAGTTGTTGACAAATTTAGTTTAGAATTTTGATTATTTTTCATGCTTGAGTAATATATAGGTTTTAGTAGTTGTTTAACCACTGCTTTTATAAATAGTGCTTTCACATAAAACCAAATTCAAAATATATTTCTAAATTCAAATATATTTTTCCGTTGCTAAAATATAGTGGGAGCATGTTAAATATTTCATCAGAGTATTTGAATAATACTCTTATATTTTAATGTATGCAAACATAATTGGGGTTCAGTTGCAGTGTAAAAACTGTCCTCAACAATGTTGAACTTAAAATGAAAACTTGGCACCAAATTAATTCAGGTAGAAACTTTAAAAAATAGTTTCTTCCTATTGTTACTTAAAGAATATATTTAAGAAAGTCTTCATAATTATTTAAGAGTTTGGATACCAAAGGGTTAAAAATACACATTTTTCTTTTACTGAAGAAATTTTATGATGTTTGCTAATGTTTTGTTTGTACAAATGGACATTTAGTAATGTTTTTAATCTTTTTTTTTTTAATGATTCCATGTATTTGCTTATTTCCATCTAGGAATAGTTACTAATGTATTTGAGATACAGCATACCAAATTTTAAAGTAACCAGAATCGTGAGTTAATGGTTTTTAGTCCATACTGTTAAATTTTGTTGAAATATTGACATAATTAAATTGGCTTCATGCTAAAAATTATTAGAAGTGATTGAGAAGGCAGTGTTATAGAACAATAGCTTTTGGTCAAGGAGGTCACATGACTGGCTTACGCTCAATAAATGTGCTTCTGC